AAGTACTCATCTTTGCAAACTAATTTTGTAGGTCCTCAACTTTCAGTGAAGCCCTTTGGAAATGAAAACTTTATCCGACCCCATTTAGATAATGTTCAGCTGCTCGTATCACATTACCACTGTTGTTTTAAGAACTTATCTCCATCTAACTAGCGATAAATATATTTTCGTAATAACTCCCGCAGAGCGACGAATTCAAATGTTTGTGTTCAATTTGGCTGACATGCATTTAACACTCCATTCGGGCTATTTGATAAACCCTTCATGTGTTGTGGAGTAAATATCGATCTAATAGGAGTACTGTGCTCTGGAAATAACCTTTCCAAGAACTGGAAAAAAAAAACAAATTTTATGTAACCTTACGAGAGTGTCACGACCACAAAGGAAATACCTTTTTTGCATATTACACATGCATAATACATTTGCATGTAATTTTCCTGGTATGATTGTAACTGACAAACACAGTTTTCCGGTGAAGGTCAATGTTAGCACTTGATTATTTGAAAATTTAAAATAAGGTATTTAATTTAAAAAGAAAGTAAGTGTATCATCGCATATTTTTTGGCTGTGCCGCAAAATGTATATGGTATTAATAAAATGTTAAAAGGTCACGCAAAACACCTACTTGAATTTTCTCAATACATCATTGAAAGTTGAAGATTCAGTGGGTTGAAAGTAAAATGAATATTTATAACATTTATAAATAAAACTTGTAAGATAATTTAAAATATGTAGAACACCACGCACAAACACCCCCTCTTAATATTCGAAGAAAATAAACCAGCTTGAATTTTTTGGAACATCGGCATCGGTAAAATTTTAAGAACTATGTAAAAACTCCGTAGGTTGAAAGAAAACTTAAAATTTAACTTGAACTGGAACATAAAGAATTCTGCAAAATTATGCAAATTTTGCAATAATTGGCCGTTGCTAAAAAAATTCTACGAAAATATTATAAAACTTCAGAGTTACATCATGAAGGTGGGTGGTACATCTCTTCTCTACATTTTCAATTCTCCTAACGCAACGAATCGGTTATTGATTTTTACATACCATCTACCGCTCGTTCTTCAGACTATTGCTTAGGAGTACTTGAGTTTTTGTGATAGTTTGATATACGAAAAAATTTCAATGATTTTTTTTTCGTAAAGTGAGAACGTTTCCTTCGAACGTGAATGAATTTTCATAAAAATATGTAAAGGTACGAAAAAAGTAACGGAGATTGAAAAAAGATTGACAATTATTTTACGTTTATACGAAGTGTTTTAAACCAATAGTAGAAATTCTCAATAAAAGTTTCCATAAAGATATGGTTTAGAACAATATAATTTTATATACAATATATTTTGGTAATTATTTTTAAAAACACTCGAAGACATATATTATTATTTTTATAGTGACTATACAGGGTGTCCGAAAATTAGGAGCAACTCTCCGGAGGTTATCCTACGGCAAACAATAGGACGAAAACTTCATATAAATACAGGGGGTGGCGTGTATAATCTATAAAAACTACAACTTCCTAATGATATTTGTAATAGAAAAGTCTTATACGAAAAAGTTCTATATTCATTTATTTAACGAAAATGAAGGCCGACCCTGTGTTATTTATTAAAAACTTTGGAAATGTTTTTATGCGACCCGAGATGCAACCTTATAATTTAAGTCGATATAATGTAATACTAGTAATACTAAAAGAAGATTAGGTTACTTTGTCAAAAAATTTGTGCAGTCAACTGATTTTGTATTTGTATTGAATTCATTATTCACTTAATTATTAAATATTAAGCATCGACCATCGACCCATCAGTGTTAAAAAGTGAAAGATTCCAGTCAAAAGTTTTTGTTTTGTAATTACACGATAGCGACAGTGCAATTTTTATAATGAAGTAAAAAATAAGAAGAGCGTGCCGATTACATTAAAAAAGGGATTCTTATTTCTTACTTTACCTAATTTTTTAGTTTGTACACAAACTAGTTTTAAAATGAACTGAGAAAACAATGCATTTCCTATTTCCGAACGTGTCGATATGGTGTTAGTGTATGGTGCAGCCGGTGAAAATGCGATCGCGGCGACTAGGTTGTACCGGAAACGATGGCCACAACGTTACCCCCAATGTGCAAATACAATCCTACAGTGCATTCAGCGGCTGCGAAATACGGGACGTGTTCTTCTTCGAGGAGAAGGACGTGATCAGCAAGTGAATCTTAATGTTGAAGATGCAGTGCTGGAAAATCTTGACGAAAACCCCACAATTAGTACTCGACGACTCACACAGCAAGTAGGAACCTCATCTCGTACCGTACATCGCATCCTTAAGGCGCCAGCTGTTGCACCCCTATCATCTGCAACCAGTTCAACATATTTTACCCCCGGATTGTGATCAACGAATGCGTCTTTGCAGATGGTTTTTACGGCAATGTGCCAATCAAGTAGACTTTCCTACTTATGTTTGTGTCTCAGATGAGGCGACAATTACCCGTGATGAAGTGAATTTCCATAATATGGACATATGAGTCGATAAAAGTCCTCACGCGATTAGGGAAACTCATTTTCAACATCAGTTCTCGGTAAATGTTTGGCCTGGCATAATAGGCGATGTATTTGTGGGTCTCTATTTCTTTGAAGGATGACTAAATGGACAACATATGGACTTTTTGGAGAACATGTTGCCTGAATTATTGGACGATGTGGCATTACAAGTTCAGGCACGCATATTGTATCTTCAAGATGGAGCTCCTCCAGACAGTACTCGAGAAGTAACGACACTTTTGAATGAAATGTTTCCTCAGCGATGGATTGGACGCTTTGGTCCTATGCCGTGGCCACCGTGTCATCCGATCTAACTCCAATGGACTTTTATCTTTGGAGTCACTTGAAGTCATTGGTTTGCAATACTCCAATTGCTGAGGTGGAAGAATTGAATACCTGGACATTGGGAAAATATTCGCCAAAATTGGGTGCGTCGGTGCCATGTCTACATCCGCGCTAATGGGAATCAATTTCAACATTTTCTTTAGAAATGGTAAGTTTTATTTCATTTTGTTCCATATTTTAATGGAGTTTGTTTAGTGCACGCAGTTGGCAACTACAGATGCTTACGGATGTGGTTTTGTTTGCGAACTCTTGCAGTAACAACAATGCATTTAAGATGGTGGCTGGTGTACAGTACGTAACTCATCGTACAGCATATGGACAGGACCGTTCCAGAGAAAATATTTTGATCCATAATTGAACTTTTACGAAAAAAAACGCAAAAATAAAACTTTTTCGTATAAGACTTTTCTATTACAAATATTATTAGGAAGCTGTAGTTTATTTTTTATAGATTATACACGCCACACCCTGTATAGGACAAGTGGACCCTAAAATGGCGAAGTTTGGTAAATGTAAAATTATTTTTTAATTAAACTTTAAGTTGACGTTTGATTAAATTATTTCTATTATCAGTTTTAACTCTCTGCAAAAGAACTTAATGTATCAAAGATAGCTTCTGGTAGGTACCCTTTTTCATGAAAACTTGACATACCTTGGAAATAAGAGTACCTTCCTAATGTAAAAAGCATCATATTTTGAATTTTTGTGATCTCATTATAAAAACAATTTCTGCCAAAAAAGTTGGGTCTCTAATATCCTAAGATGGTCCTGTTTAACACACTCCTCAATAAAATGGAACATTTCGTGTAAATTTTCGAAATCAGCATAAAAAGTTGATTAAATGTTCAAAATTGCATTACTTTACCTCCAGCCGTTTCGATAATATTGAACAAAAGTCATCTTCAGGGCCGACCCTTTAAGAGGCTCTAGCTCCCTTAGGGTCCAGTTGTGGACCTATGTTTATATGAAGACTTCATCCTATTTTTTTGCTCCTAATTTCAGGACATCCTGTTTACAAGGTGACTCATTCAGAAGCTATAAAGTTTATTTAATAAAAGTGGTTGTTCTTGTATAATTCTTCTCTAAAAGAGCTTTCCAAATAGTTAAAAATTAAGACATTTATCTTGGGTGATGATGTTATACCTGTTAAGATGTTTATGGTGTGCTGTTGCCTTGATTAATTGTCTGTTCCATTTTATTGTAATGCTTATAAAGGTGACTTGATGCTTTTGGCATAAGTATTGTAGTTATAATTTTCTCCCTGTCCAACTACAATCTGCCCCCACAGAACTTATTGAAAACAACAAGGCAGTTCAAAGATTCCTATCTAGAGCTAACAGAGTGCAATGTGATTGGCGATAACTAAATACATAGGACATGGCATAACAGCCCTAAAAATAATGGCACTTTAAATATAAGTACGGACAGTGAAAGCTTTAAAACCACTATTGTTTTTTTAGTTTACTTTTATGTCAAAATTTGGTTCAAACAACGCTTTAAATATAATATTTTTGGTTACGGAGAACTAATATTTATTTTTCGTTGCTTACTTCTGAAATATTAAGATTTGTTTTTTTTTGTTTATGACATTTACCTTTTGTTGATTTGTACTTAAACTTTAGTAATTTCATACTCGAAATCACCTGGAATGTGTAGGTAAATTTTGTACAAATATGTTATTTCCATACTCTTTAGGTTTATTTTGGAATAGACTTTCCGAATCTCTACTTTTAATCCCTCTGGCAAATACTATTTAAGAACATTTATTAATTTAGAAAGATACTTATTTGAAACTTTAAAATTTTAAAAAATTTTAATTTTTAGAGATAAATATGTCGCGAACGAACGAATACATTGTAGAAATACCAGAAGAGTATTTTATGACAAAGTAACTCCTTCACGGTACCGTTCTTCTAATCAGATTTACGACTTCCACCGTTTACATATGTTTTAGTACATTTTTAATAAATGCCTCGTTTGAATGTCGTGCGTGTGTGGCATGTGCGAGAGGTGAAAGAAGCTGAAGTGATTTCAGTCACGCCACTGGGATGGGCAAGGGCTGGGGAATGCCCTTCTGCACACAGTGAATATCAGGTTAAATGTATTCTTGTCACGGTTGCAGATTGGTGACATGCCAAATCCAGAACTGAGGATCATCACCAGTGTTTTCAACAAGGTCCAGTACAAGGGTGAGTTATTATTTTCTTCGTAGAATAGAACAGAATTGTTTTATAAGTCCAGTTAACTACTTAAATATTTTTAAATTCCCCAAGGGCACAAAATAGAAAGTGGAATGATACAAATTATGACAACTAGCGTTTGACAATTGTATGGTTTGATAACAAATTTAAATATAATTTAACGGTGTTAAATATGTAAAGAGCAGACTCAACTTCTGGGTGAGGGTTCCAATAATTTTATTTACTTTTATGACTTGCTTAAGCTAATTTAAAATGAAAGATGTTTTAAACTTTTACAAATATGGATATATTACACTTTTGTTTGTAATTGTGATTGTGTAATTGAGAATTTTTATTCTTATTCTATATAAACAATAACATAAAATTTCCCCCATATAAAACTAATGTTACAGTGCTATGATTTGTTTTTGTACTGTTGACTTGTCAATGTTTGGAAAATGAAAATATGTCTTTGTCATATGCATATCCTTGAAATTTTACGAATTGATGTATTATACGAATCAAATTCAAAGTTTGCAAACATAAATTGACCAATGTGTAGACAAATTACAATGCATTGTGTGGTTTCGGTGGTTATATAATCTCCAATATGATGCAGCAATGGGTCCTTAGTTGGTATTTACAGTGGAACCCCACGTTGACATCTGGAAACTCGTTCTGCTTGTTCTTTGCCGTGATGATTCCTGCCACAAATGCACTGCACTTTTTATTATTTTTCACTTTGTTTAATTTTCCAATTTTATGACCAGTTCAGATATTGGGTTTCACTTTTATTAAATGATAATAATGATCATGGATTTTTCGGGATAATGACATTTTATGAACACTGGGTAATTCGGATTTTTGACACTACTGGCTTTCAATGACTTTTCTCCTCACGGATGACTGGATAGGTCCATAATCTTATTGATTTTAATTGATTTTTATTTATTATTTGGGAGCAAACTGACGATGTTACTGCTTCAGGATTTTATAAGAGACTAGCTACGATGATCTCGGATTTTGGTTTTATTGACGTAAAAACAAAAGAAACGTTGCTATGTAGCTTGTCAAGCAAACTTTTATGAATTTTTATTTTGAAAATATTGACATGTCAACAGTACAAAAACAAATCATAGTACTGTAACATTAGTTTTATAAGGGGGAAATTTTATGTTATTGTTTATATAGGATAAGAATAAAAATCGTCAATTATACTCGTATAATCACAATTACAGACAAAAGTGTAATATATCCATATTTGTAAAGTTTAAAACATCTTTCTTTTTAAATTAGCTTAAGCAAGTTATAAAAGTAAATGAAATTATAGGAACTCTCATCCAGAAGTTGAGTCTACTTTACATTAGTAACAATCAATTGCAAGTCCAAATTTTAAACAAATATAAACATTCATGAGTCAATAAACGTTATATATTCAAAACATAATAGTATGTATTAGCTTTGTATCTTGTTAAAATGGTCTCCTTCAATACAAACGCAACGTTGATGGAGGAAAAGTGCAACTTACTTTGAAATGGAGTGTTCTACGTCTAATACGTGCATTCTTAAAATACTGGTTGCAGAATACTTCCTGAAGTGTAGCTTTCCCTCACGTAGACACAAAGGCATTTGTTAAATTTTATAACGCCATTTCTACGTCATCAACTATATAAAAAGTTTGATCCAATTGGTGCTGAACCATCTTGCAATTGATTAATAGCATTTACCAAAGACTGTAGTTGTCTTGTACACTATACTTTGACCAAACTCATCTTGTTCACGAGATACCCAGATCCGCAGGAAACCTTACTTCGATAGGATTAAGATCAGGGTGATATGTATGGTGGTTGTCTCAGACCTTGCTATAATTGATTGACTCCATATTATATCTTCAACGTGGGCTTATTCACTTTTATATTACATAACTACTTTTAACATATCCGCAAATTGAATTTCTTTGTTTCGTAACCATTGCTTCTTTGCGGATGTAGGACATTCTTCAGCTTGCATACTGTGATATGGTGCATTGTAAATCACCAATGCAGAACATGGCGGTAACATGTTTCGTTTTTTGTGGTTGAGATAGTTCATGTCATCATGATAGTCCCCTCACTTAGTTGTTGATCTAAAATTTAGTTTCGGGTTTGGTATAAAACCGTTTTCCCATACAGACGAAACGTAGACCTTTAGCTACAAGTCTTTCTTGTAATCCTTTCATCACACCATACATTTTCATGGGTGTGCGAATAATGAATATAGTTCTCATACATATAAACAATTGATCTCTTCACGATACTATTTTCTTTCTTCAAAAACTTACCTCAAGTCTTGGATATCATGACGTTCCATCAGCAGTCGTTGCTTGGTCTTCGTTTTGCGTCACTGTGGTATACAAAACCTTAGGCAAACTTTTGCTGCCGCACAGTATATACCACACCTTCATGGAATTTTCTATGGATACGTCTAAGTATAAATGCCGTTTTTTTTTTTCAACATATCAGTTTTGAACATTATCGAAGTAATCCAAATTTGGTTTTAGCGATTTTTTGCTATATTTCCCTTCGTTAATCTACAATGTTTTTCACTGTAATAATGTAATATTTTCCAGTACTTTTTCTAAAGAAATTAATAAATTGCGATTTCGTACCTCTTCTCTTAACATTTTACTGTTCACATAAACAATGCACATTTTAGATATTGGATACTTTCAATAATTATTAATTACTTGCTATAAGTACACTATATACTGCTGATACAATTAAATGCTAGTTGGGCATGTAGTACTTTTTTTTAATTTTTCGAATTATCTTAATATATTTGTAATAGAATAACGTACTATTTACCGACTTTATTATAAAAGTGTTTTTTGTTTACATAACATTTTATAGAGGGTCTAATTTACGGAAATGACCCTCCAATGTTTTCCATAAATTCTGTCGATAAAATAGTAATTTAAATGGTGGTATATTTGACGTATTCCGATGAAGTCAATATATCAATTTCACAGTTGGCCTTGTGCCGCGTTAACGCCGCGGTTAAAAAAAGCACGTCGAGAGTGAACCGTACTGGATAATAAGGGTTCAGTAATAAATATACTGGAATAATTAATGCCCACAATCGTTTAAGTGTTCGCAGGTATAAATTGCTATGTCACTCAGGACGTGGTGGAAACATAACCATAATAATAGGATTGGTAAATGGGGACTTTAACAATGACAACAATACGGCGTTTTTTTTAGTTGACAGCAACGAAAGGTGGGCTATAAACAATAAAAAATACTGTTTACACGATACTTATTGGCCTTTTGATTTTAATGCCGTTTAGAGACAGAAATCAAATATATAGTATGTTTATATTTTACACATCAATTGCAGTTATTATTTTTGAAGTCGTACAAATTTTCCTGTATATTTTGACATATTTAGATAGAACACTTTCTTACGATTTCAGAGATAAGGTTGTATGAATCTAACTAACAGAAGGGGAGATGTGATCAAATAATTTTTGCGATATCGACATTGACTCTTCTCTCCCTAGATACTATACAGGATAATTAATTTTTTTTTCTGAATCGATAGATCTCGGCAAAATAATGACATTTTGAAGTATAAACATTTTCTTCCAAAGGCTTCCTTTTAGAGATATAAGATCTTGAAAAAAATTTTTATTAGTTTTTATTTATTTTTTCTTAAACTATGAGAGCCATTTGTTTTATATTTAGTATGAAGTGGACGAATGAAAAGCTCTATCGATTTTGCAAATGATTGTAAAAATAAATCAATAAATAAATCAAATGGGCTCTGATAATCCCTATTTTTTATATAATTTCTACGCCACAGGAAATTTTTCAAAATGAACATATTTTGTTCACATTGCGGTTTATTTTACAATAAAAATGTCTCTTACTACTTTTAAACCAAATGCTTGGTTTTTGAGAAAAATGGCTTCTTATGGATTCATTACATGTGAAATGGTTGTTTTTCAAACAGAAAATATTTAATATTGACAAACAAACAGAAATAACACTAACAATATAGAACAAAATAAATAGTATCACAACAGATGATCGAAATGTGGTCCTCGAACCCCAATGCATTTCTCACATCGCCTAATTAAGCTTTGAATTGCTCTCATAATCATATTGGGGTTGCGTTTAAGAATTTCACAATTATTTTCAATTCGTCTTCTTAACATTTCAAGAGTACAGACTGGTACACCCTTTCTTTAATAAATTTCCGAACGAAATAATCCATGGGATTTAGATCTGGCGATCGTGACGGCCAAGCAATACGACCGGTACCAGATTCTGCATGATTTGTTTCCAAAATACACCTAATCTAAGGACGTGGATAGAGCTCCCCAAGCCACTGCCTAATTTAAAGACCACAATGAGCCGGAGCGAAGAGCCATCTGAATCTACATATTTCTCCTTAGAAGTAATGGTAAGTCGTCGAGTAAAGAATTTAAATCTTCTTTGAAAAACTTAATCATTTCATATGTAATAAATCCACAAGAAGGGATTTTTCTCAAAAACAGCTAAAGCATTTCATTTAAAAATAGTAAGAGACCTTTTTGATGTAGAATAAACCGCCCGCAATGTAAAAAAAATATATTCATTTTGAAAAATTGCCAGTGGCGTACAAATTATATTAAAAATAGAGGTTATCAGAGTCCCTTACGGACGCCTATGATTGATATATTTTCACAATAATTTGTAAAATCGATAGAGCTTTTCATACGTAGACTTAATACTAAATATCAAACAAATGGCTTTCATCGTTTAAGAAAAAATTAATAAAAACCAAAAAAAAAAAAGTTTTCTCAAGAGCTTATGTCTCTAAAAGGAAACATTTGGAAGAAAAAATGTATACTTCAAAATGACATTATTTTGACGAGACCAATCGATGGTTAAAGTCCTAGCCATAAAATGTGAATCACCCTGTATACCAAACAAACCTTATCACTTGGACTGTCAGAGAGAGCTGCAATTAAATGGCGTGCCAAGCGA